ACTTGGAAAGTCTCAAACAATCTAGTCCGAGCAGTTGAACGCTTTCCTAAAGAAGTGCTGCGTGCTGCTGTATTGATGACTGGCCATGGAGATTAAATGCCTGTGTCAAGGCAGTAGGGAGACATTTTGAGTAATTTTGATTTTTGTTCTACTTTCTATAGATATACATTTTATTTTCTAATAAAGTTTTTGAAAAAAATTAATTTTTCTGTTGAAATATGTATATATTTCCTTTTAATAATATTTGTGACTAGGTAGTTGTATGATAAATGCGCTGGATAGTGAAACATTATTTTTAAATATATCTATACAAATATCGGTATATATGTATAGGTTTATTTTGAATTATTCATTATTATATTGTTCAGTTCATAATAATTGTGTTGATTTTATAAATTTATCATTTTAATTAATTAATACACATAATATAAACTTCTTTTTTTGGGGGGGGGGTCCTACGCCCCCAATCAAAATGTAAAGCCTGCGGCTACGGTTGGTGTTCTCCCTCTTCTGTTTACTTCATCTTCTTCTGTTATTGTTGATGTCCTCTTAGTCAATTAGATAGCGGCTCTGTTAGATAACCTCCTTGGATGATAATGCCTTCCTGACCCGCTGATTAGTATCGGCGCAGCGGTGGGTAATGAATCGCCCAGTCGCCTGCTCCATCCATCAAACATATCTCATCTCTAGTTAGCTAATGCTAGTTATTAAATAATGATTAACTGCATTACTCCATGTGTCGCTCCCTGGTAGATCTATCTGGTACCTGGGCTCCGCTATAAAATTTATATCTTATTTATATTTCAATGTTGAACGGATTGTTGTTTTAATTTGGATAATTTTGAAATTGTTTGTCCTTACATTCAAAATATAATAAATATCAATATCATACATGGATTATTCAAAATATCGTTCACATTCATGTCACATGATACTATTCCGTTCAAATCACTACTGAGAGTAGTGATCAAATTATCTTACGATTCAAGTTGTAAGCAAATGGGTATTTACGAGTTGTTAGTACCTAACTAAATAGACAAAGTTTGCCCTCCTCCAGATTGAGAAATCTCCAATTCCTAGAGTTTTCGAAAATAAAAGAGTTGTAGGTTACGATAAGTTGAAACTATTTACGAAGTTTCAGGTGGATGTTAATAATTTGATAAAAAGGGATCTGTACCACGGACTACAGATTATTTTTCTTTTAATGAATTATCCTTCTGGAATGCATGTTTATCATTTAGTGTTTAGTAAAAATAATAATAATATAACCCAGAAAAAAATTAAATGTGAAATGCAGTTTTCTCAGACCTTAGTTCTGTCATAACCAAGTCCTACCAACATATTGTGGTCTACATCTTTATTTTAATATTGAATGAGGGGGTTCTGAAATTAGGGCTATTGAAAAAAGGATATGCTCATTTACATCCATCTACATCTTCTCCATATCCAGATGCAGGAAAAAAATGTTGATTTTCTTATTTTGATTTTGGTGTAAAATTAAAATTGAAATAATCATTTCATCAAAAGCTTTGTACTATTTTGTTACAACCTCGCTTCCTAATGTATTAGGAACCATGAAGATAAATCAAGGTTAATAGAATTTCATAGAACTGAATAGTAAGTTTTTTTAGAATATTTTGAAATAAATCTGTTTTTAAAGTTGATCAAGCTTTTAAAGTATTAGGGGTAAAATTATTATTACTAATAACCGTTTCCGTAATCGAAAGCAACGATTTGTTGCTTGACAACATCGATTATTCATCATTCCTTTGTTGTAAATCTTAAATAAATGTTCTCAAAAAAGTAAATAAAGTGTGTAAAAAATAAATAAACTGAACAATCAAATTATTTTCCCATTATACACAGAATTAAATTATTATAATCAGGCGTTAATAGAGAAAATTAATTACATTATTTATTTTTTTCAAATTAACTTATCTATGGTTTTACGTATGTTCACATCAGTAACTTCTATTTTGTTTATTTTATACCAATTTTACGTAATATTTTCTCAGAAATGTTAGCGTTCCTTCTGCATAGTGTAATATAATATCACAGGTATGATTGTCTAACAAATTTCTATAAAATCGACATATTTACCGATCTAAAGATTTCGGTAAATACATTCCACCTTTTGTACTAACGGTAAAGATATTTTGTGTTAGTTCCTGATAAAGGTAATTATTTAAAGCCTAGGAATGGTGGAGTGGGTACCGGTAGGACAGACATACCTTGATATCGACGAGACGTTGGATAGGTTATAGGGTAGGGTAGAGTCCGGTTCTGGAAGGAAGCATTAACAAACAGATAGGAGAGAGATAGAACTAACTAACTGTACTCCTAGGCCGTTCGCTCAGTCTCTTCTTAATTATATCTCCGATTTGTACCTCTCTAAGACCATTTTAGCTACTGCTTTCAGTACAATTTACATCTCATTACATGCTTCAAAAGTATATAATAAACACTATACAAATACTATTATTTATATTATATTATCTTATAATCCACTTCCTAGTTATTAATTGCCTTATTAATCAGCAGCTTCATCCCATTTAGATAACAAAAATCACTACATTTTTTTTTTATTATTAATATTATTATTTCATCTACAAACGCTTATTTATTATTATTTTTCGATCTTATACTGACGACACAGCAATTTTCACAAAACATTATGATCTTACACAAGCCTCACTGACGTTACAACACCATTTAGATAATTTATAAGACTGGTACAAATAATAGAAAATTCAAATAAACCACGATAAATCGAAACACATTACATTTACACTTCGAAAAAATACACCCCCGAATTGTCAAAATAACGAGGTTATGTAGGCCAAACGAACCAATATTTTTGGAGGCCAATTTTTTTCCTATATATTTTGTGATCAAATTATCTTACGATACAGGTAGAAAGGATTAGTACGAGTTTTAAGTACCGAATTAAATAGAAAAAGTTTGCTCCCCTCCAGACTGAAAACGCCCAAATTCCGAGAATTTTCGTAAATAAAATATTTGTAGGTTACGATGAGATGAAGCTATTCATTAATTTTCAGCAATATGTTAATAATTTGATAAAAAGGCAAGTGGTCTATACCACGGACTGTTATTATAATATCGTTTGGTTCGTTGCACTTTTAATTTTTACGATGTAACAGGGAACTTGTGCATAGTTGATTAATATTTTTATATTGTTCCACTCCTTGGCCATAAAAATCACATTTAATGATTGGAACGTTGTTTGTCAATCACAAATTAGTTACATGGCCTCTGCTCGGTTGCACGGAATCAATTTTCTCTGCATGACTAAATTAATGGTTTTCATAGAAACATTTCTCAAAGTTGAACAGTTACTTCTACCATTTGATTCCCAGCAAACAGCTCCTCAAACATCTTAGTTACTGTGTCCGAGGAACTAGAATCTTATTAGTGATTTTAACAGTAGTGGAAAGGTATCAAGGGCCTAATTTATTTTTTATGTTCTTTTCATCTCTTACTTTATAGGTAACATTTTAATTTCTTATTTTTGAGTACATTTCGTTTACTTATTTATTTTTAATAATTTTATTCATGAGAAATATCAACAATGTATTATAGCATTAGGAGTGGAGACCGATCACCAAGATGGGTTTAATTACTAAGAAAAATTATTTACTAAAAAACATAATATTTTAAATATTTATTTATTCTGTTTCGGATTAATAAATTTATAGAAATAACAGGATAATTGTTTTGAATGCCTTATTTTGTTACTATGTTACATTTCAGGAGCTATTATAGTTAAACGATGATTATTTTATTATTTAAGGTCAATGATGATCTTAAGATTACTCGACATTACCGTGTACAAAGGAAACACGACCCTTTCTGAAGGCTACTTAAGTTGTTTTGGCTATTATTGTATTAAATAGACCTTAACATTTTTGTACTTGGAAAGATGTTTATCAATATTCGTTATTATTTATTTCGTTTAAAAGAACCTTGACAAGGTTTTTTTTTTTTTTTTTTTTGTTTGCCGTTGCAGTTTTATATTTCTTTATTTATGTTTGCCAAAACTCTGTAATTGCAGTCAACGAAATGAGGTGATATTTATATTTTAAAATTTAGTTATTTCATTGATTGAATTTATAAAAGACTTGTTCATCTAACTATCGAAAATTGTACTGTGAGGATAAATTCAAGCACATTTCATTTACTCTTTCGAGAAATAACTGCTCTCCAGTTGTATTGCTAGCAACCGAATTTCTCAGATGGACGCACGCGGTTCTTAGTCGAGTTATATTGAAAATCAAAATTGCAGATTTTATGAATTTTTGTTCCAGTTATTTTTTATAACCTTATAATTAACTTGATAAATATTAACCTCAAGTTAACGTAATAAAGTCTTTCCTGTATTTTTAAGATTTTTTAAAATAGGATGAACATTTTTAAGAGGTGGAATTGCAGTTTTTTAATTTTGTAAAAATGTATTTATTTAATTTTTTTTATGTTCACATAAATTTCCTATTGGTTTTATTAACTTATAACTGGAACTGATATAATAATTTGATAGTTTTATGGACTTACAAGAGTTTTATTTAACTTACATATAAGTTTATAAATTTCAAAAGAGCATAAGGAACTTAAATTGGGGCATTTACATCCCTAAGGCTGCTATTCTTTAGCAGTATCAGTATTTAGTATCAATAAGAAAGAATGCTTTCCAATCTTTTTTTATTGATATTTAAAAAAATTAAATAAAGAAAATAATTTAATTTGAAACAGGAGAATTAAAATAATTTTAATTCAATTTAAAATTATTTTAATTCTCCCTAACGTCTTTAATGTCATTAGATACCCATTATCAGAATAAAAAACTTATAAAATGCAGTTTTCATTGATTTTTTTTTTTTTAGTTGATTGCCTTAAATATTAAATATAATCTTGGTTTAGTTGCCCTAATAAACGCTTACCTCGAGAGTTTATCTTCAAGAGATGGAGTATCAGTTTAGCATGAATTATGAAGAGCACTCAGGAGTTGAATTGGTTGGTGGCAACTTAACCACCCGGTGCGAATCGCAATTGATGTTTCGATCGTTAACCAGCTCTGGACTGTTGGTGCCTGCTGCGTGCTCCAGATCCACAGCCTTCCATTGGGTACCGCTGTTAATATATAGCACTTAGCCCCTGAAGATGCATTCATCAGCCGAAAACGACCTGACAATCACCTCACTGATTGGCATTTCGGCTGTGGGAGTTGATTGCACCGTTATAAGAGACCAGTATAATTGATTGACGCCCGCTGCCTGGCTCAGAAGAAGCAACCTTGCTAATCCTGTTAGTGGAATCAAAATAATAACTAATATAATATTAAATGGATTTAATTATTTTATATATATATATATATATATATATATATATATATATATATATATATATATATATATATATATATGTATGTATGTATATGTATATGTATATATTTAGTTGGGTGCAGAACAACTGGAAATTGTTGATGTTTTTCACAAATATCGGAGGAGGTCTTGGCTCTCTGGATATTGCTGAAAATTCCATTACTTCTCGGTCATTTTGAAGCATTTGGTAGGGGTTAGGAGTAAAGAAAGGGGATTCTTCGATCATTTCTTGCGAAGATGTACCTGGATGTGGCTCAGGTTCTGGTTCTGAAGTGTTCAAGCCTCACAAACTCTACATCACTTACTTAAATTACAAGATTGGTTCAAACTATATAAAATCACTACAAATATAATATTTGCTCTTTGGAAAAACACCTGACTTCCAGTTTATATTTACAACAATCAAATTCTTCAAACTGATACGGTACTTAACCTTGGTCTCACCTTCGGCAGAAGGATGACATGGGGCGTATGACACTTAACAAACGACTCACAATACTTTACTCTCTTTTTTCTAAATCTTCAAAACTGAAGCTGAGATAAAAACTGAATACATACTTTAAGGAAGGAGATGGTCCGTGTTGGCGGTCATAATAAGGCTAAATAGTGGCAAAACTGTTTTTTTAAAAGCCAACGTTTCGACCCGACTTTGCAGGTCTTCTTCAGGACTAGAACGGACAAGACACAAAAAGAAATAGAGAATTGTGGAAGTTACATAATATTAAGACAATAAATTATAAACAATGTACATAAGCTTATTAAAATTATAACCAGTAAGTACATTAAAATATAAACAGAGTAAGCTAAGTAACAAGATCCTAAACTGAAGTAAATATATGGTAACAATTGTTGTAGTGTAATATATAGTATATGCAAATGTGAATATGCTTCTACAGATCTACAGGAGAGATTGAAAGAAAAGGTAATAGCATATAATATGAAATAATAAACATAAAGGAATGTGGAGAAAGAAAAGAAAACCACAAAATAAATGAATAAGTAAATAAAATTAGAAGAATAAAAATAAAGACTTATTGGTGTGTTCAGCTAGGAGTTACACTTAGAACTGGAAAATCAGGGTAAGGGTAGGTATTGAGAAAATTTGCTGACCTGTTTGGGTAATAGGGAAAACCTGGAAAATTGCAGTATCTAAAATTTGAAGAAATGGATGGATACAAGGGAAAAATTCTACATCTATGAAATAATAAATTATAAATATATACATATAAAATAGAATTGTAGATAAGGGTACAATGTGAATAAAAACAAAATGGAAGAGTTAAAACGTACATAGAAGTAAAATATAAATATAGAAATAAGAGACCATACATCGCAGAATTAATTTAGAAGTATAAGAATAATAAAGAGGAAATTAGATGTATCTATATCTTTTTGTATCTTGTCCGTTCCAGCTCTGAAGAACTTTTTTTTGAACTGAAGAAGTTTTTCCACGATCTAGCCTTTTTATGACCGCCACCCCGGACCATCTCCTTCCTTTATAATGCAACAGTCAACTATTAAATATTCAATATACATACTTACTTAAATCCAAGTGGTAATACTCATCACAAATATACTGTATCGCTAAAAAAACTCAGCTACAAAAACCTCCAACCCTCTAATCAAAATTATTGCGACTCATAAGAAAAGCTCCATGGTACGTGAATAACAAAACTGTACATACTGACCTCTACTTTTCAACAGTTGACTAACATATAACGATGCTTTAACAAAAAATTGTATGATAATTTAATAATAAACGGACATCACAGCAGACTAATAAGAGACATGGCCACAGCTAATATACTCCAGAATATGAGGAGGAGAACAAAAAGTTGTTGGATGAGAGATCTCCTTCTTTACACAACCTAAGTAATTGAAACAAGTCAGGGAAGAGGTACTGCTGAGTACTGTCCTTCTCATTTATATCTTGTACTTCCGGCACATTTGGTGATTGTTAGCAAAAAAGTGTACAGGCACAAATCAATTTTTTTTCGACAATAAAAATCATTTTAAAAGTTAAATAATATTTTTAAAACAGCATATCTCATTATTATTATTTATTTACTCTAATAATGTTAGGATCGTTACCTTTCTATTTTCTTCTCTATAGATTCTTAGTTCCCTGGGATCTTTTACGGTTTCCAACCCAGACCGTTAGTAAATTGTTATATGATCTAAAAAGAAAAGAAAAAAAATGTAACAAAGAAGAGAATGGGAAAGTGAGTATTTTTCTTGGATTGCTTTCCCTGGACGGCAGAAGAAGGCCTGACTGGGACCACCCTTACCGAAGGTCGTGATCGGCTAGCAGATAGTGGAGCACGCCCAGTCACATATGAGCTCACCCACCTTCTTGGAATGAATCGCTATCTTAGCACGGCCACCTATCAACTAGCTTCGTTTAAATTATAATTAAAAGTTTTATAAACATTATTTTTATATTTACATATTACTTTTTATTTAAGTATTTAAAACTATTCCCAAAATCCCAAAATAAAGATGCTCCAAAGAAGAATTTATGGTGTCAGAGGAAGGGGGAGAACAAGAAGAAGATGGTTAGAGGATGTGGAGTTACAAACTGGAAGGAAAAGGCTAAGGACAGGAAGAGCTGTTGTTCAGGAAGCCAAGGCCCACCCCGAGCTGTATAGTATTAATAAGTATAATTAGTAATATTAAAAATTATAATAATTAACTGAAATACCTTAAGTTGAAGGATTATCTTTGATTCCCAATATTTCATGTATATTAATTAAAATCATCATATCTAAGAATAAATATTACATATGGTATTATCTTCAATAAACGCGACCAAACACATACAATAGTGGGAAGCAGAATAGAGCCACTTCAACTCGGTGCAAGCAGGAAACATGAGAACGCCTGGGAATTCCAAAGATTAATCTTATAAAACAGTTCATGACTCTCTTTAACTTCATCTTCAGTCTTTCAAACAGCTCTCCATACACCAAGCAACCGGAGTCGAAGAGGAGAACACGAGAGAGGTTATAAGGAGCTGTCTGATTTTTTGAGGAATAGAATCATGAAATCTTAGGAGTCGTTGAAGGACAGTTTTCGGATTTTTGGATAATATGGGAAATATGGTTCTGATGAAAAGTTACTCCTAGATTTTTGACTGTTGGAGGAAAATTGATAAGGCGGTTATTGAGGTAAATTGCTAAAGTTCTTCATTAAAAGCAAATGTTATACTGTTTACGCTATTGGCAGTCACGGTCTAGCTACTGTCATGGCTGCAACTGTCGCGGTAATTTGGCATTTTGATAATTATGTCAATGTTTATATATGATATTATGAATTCAAAGCTGGTTCGCTTATGTTGAAGTTATATGAAAATTATAGTTTATGTTGATGAGTGAAAATGGCTGAAAGTAGAGTAGACAGGAGAGTACAGTTTCCAATAAAGTAAGGTCCTAATGAGGAACCTCTGCTGTGCCGGGAAATTGACTGTCATTATTCGGCTATTTCCAAGCCGGGCCACTATCATCGCCTCCATTACCAGTGCGCTATGACCCTCCCAGCCGGCCAGCTTTCTATCTCTGCAGTGCACCATCCTTGGGGGAAAAGTGTGAAGAATCATTACTACAATAAATTTAAAAATGGCCTACTGTATTCTCGTTTACTTTCCAATATTTGTAAGACATCGAATTATCCAATAAGATTTTGATAAGGGTTGACATTAAGAGATGATTCTTAACTGCCTTAATGATTCTTAACTAAATCATATGCCATGCCAAACTTACTGGGGGATCCTGTAGAACAAGGTTTAATTAGTTGTCATGTAAATAAATTTGATTTTATATAAACAAAAGAAACTTTTTTCTAATATAATTAATAACGTTAAATAAGTAGGTCAGTACAGATCCTTTATCATTTGTATTGAATAAATAAGAAAACCAAAAATAATTTTTTTAAATCTGTATTTTAGAAAATATATTATCCTTTTTAACACTGAGATACATTTGTATCCCTTGCATGGCAATGGAATATCCTATATATATATATATATATATATATATATATATATATATATATATATATATATATATGTGTGTGTGCCTATAAACTTCACTTTTAGCAAATTAATACAATATTTCAAATAAAACATTTATTAAATCACATTATCAATATTTTTTTTCTCAGTACATTCTTGCCTCGCCTTTAAGGCTAGGGGGTTTTTCCGTACATTTTTTTACTCATAGTAAGAAAATTTCATTTAATATCCTTGAAAACATGTGATTTAAGTTAAATAATGTTAGTTTTCTGAAATTATTATTTATGTTTTTTTAGTCACTCTCCGTTACGTTCTACAAATTTATTTATTTGATATAATTTTTTCTAAAATTCTAAAATTACCAGAGATTCATTTTTGACCTGGATAAGCATTTTTCCTTTTTTTCTCCAGTTTCCAATTATCATATTCTTTCAAAATTCATATTTAGCTATTTTTTATAGTTACTGTCAATAAACGAGAGCTTTTTGTTTTTTTTAACACATGAAAGGTATTTTAGAGAAAAGCATATATGAATATTGGGCATTTAAGACCTGTAAAGTGACATCAATGGGGATAAGACCTAAATGATATTAAAGACCACTTAATATATAATGATACTCCGTTTAATCAAAATATTTGAAGCCATTTTTGAGAAATTGTAAAAATGTGTTGTAAAAAGTGGCACTTCCTGTTATTAGATTTTAACGAAAAAGTTACTGTGACATCCAAGGTATATATCTATCTTAAATACACAATTTCAGTGTCGTACGACTTTTCGTTTTTGAGGTAGACTGTTCACATACACACGCACACACACACAGACCATTTTGCGGGGCTTGGTTATTTCGATCAAAACGTGTATTTCCGTTGAAAACTCAGATTCGAAAATTTTTACGATCGCAATATATTACATATATAGGTAAGTGAAAGTAAAAAAAAAAGTTAAAATATAATTATTATTGTTTTTTATTTTTATTATTTACAACTCTTTCTCCATATACTGAATGTCTCTCTCTATAATCACACCAGGTTATCGACATTGCTCTGTAGAAAGTGACACCGATCTTGGATAAATATGCCATTTTCTTCTCGCTCCAGTTGCCTGCTCCTGGACCTACTATTCAAACATGACCATATCGCATAGTTTACACGGAGTGCGCTCCCTCGTTACAGTAACCAGCTACTTTCTCTATCTTCAGAAAAAAGGTGATTGTCACCCGGCTTTGGATTGTGCCGGCGGGTACTCTATGGTTACTATGGAACTAGCGCCTCCCTACCATTTTCCTCCATCAGGGAGAAAACTTCGCTTTCCACAAACACGTACCAAAACTAGCTAAAATTTAATATGTTATTCGTCGTGTTATTTTTTCTTCAAATAATGAAATAGATAGAGTTAGTGAAGATTTCCGATGTAAATATTTATATCTTGATGGCTATCACAATTAATTGTTACTCTTATTTAATTAATAGCACAGGCGGATCTATGGGGGGTGGGGAAGGAGGGCTTTCGGGATGAAGCCTTCCTCCACCCAAAAAATGGTAAAATGTTTTATAGAAAAAAAATATTAAAAAATTATCTTTTAATGTATTATAGTTCGCGTAATTACATTTAATATGACTTCAAGAATTACTAAAACACCATTTCATATAGGTAGTTTGTATTTTTCTTTTTTTTCTAAAGTAATTATAGTTAAATAAATGAAAAAAAAAAAGCTTTCGGGCTGAAGCACACGAAAAATTAAATCCTGGATCCGCTTGTGATTAAGAGTGCCCAATTTACAGAGGCTGAGTGTGTCTTCCGACTCCAGTGTCTATCCACGGCTAATGAAACATAATAAATGATTACCTGCCATACGTTAATTGAATCAATATAATTCATAATTGTTATGAATCTGTTATTATTGCACAGTGTAATTTCACGTTATATTACTACATCATATTCATCACAAACGCTTGTTTGTGGAGTCCCAGTATTGAATTTCGTTTAGTAGCGAATCCAGGATTTAATTTTTACTTTTTTATAATGGTAATTACTCTGGAAGTCATTTTTAAGCGGTAATTAGTTTGCGTCCTTAAGAATATGATATCCGCTCGTGTGTTCATTATTGTTATTGTACTCGCGTTAATCTTCTCTAGGATTTAATCGACTAGAGATCCTATAGTTCTTACGGAATGCATCCTGCCCTTAAGGATATATGTAGTAACTATAAAATATCTTTAGAGTTGATTATTTCTCGTTTTAAATTATTGAGTCTACACTTTCTAGACACAGATGGAAATTTTTTTTTTTAAATAGTCTTTTGGTTTTTAAATAGTGGTATAGAGTACTATTAATTCATACTATGCACAATAAATAAAAACAATAAACATCAATATAATAATAGTAAAGTAAATGTATATAAACTAAAAGATACTAAACTAAATAAAAATAAATATTTAAATACACCCATGCTTTTATACAATATTTACAATATTCAGTCACTCAAGATCTCCGAGCCAAGCCTTTCCCCACGCTCGTGGAGGGAAAAGCAGGACTTTAGGAGAACCCAGCGTCTATCACTCAGCCGCATCAATTGTATTACTAATGGAGGCTGAGCAGGGGCACTATAACCAGACATACATGGCTTCAGTGGAGAATTTGGCCATTGCCAGAACTCCAATATATTCTTACAATAAGTCTCTGGGTCAATGCCGCTTCAGCCTTTGAGGAAGATTGTAGGTATGAGTAGTGCTAGAGATTTAGGATTATGCAATTGGATTTGGATGATATGTAAGGTTTTGGAGGAATTTGGAAAGTGTTTGAGGGATAAGGTCTAGGACAAATGGGATATTAAGGTCATGGTGTAGGGTTTGGTTGGTTACATAGTATGGAGCATCAACTATTTTTCGAAGGACCTTGGACTGAAAGGATTGAATGCATTTGATTTTAGAAAATTTTGCTGTCCCCCACAGTTCTAGTCCGTAGGTCCAAATAGGTTTCTTTTCTTGTAGATCAGTAGTATGTTGTCAATTGGAAGTTGAGATTTTCTGTTCCGTAATCTATATAGCTGGCCATATCGTCGGATGAGTTCTTGTCTTTGAGTCTTGTATGTGGGCTCCGTGTCAGTCTTCGGTCAAAGAGAAAGCCAAGATACCGGAGTGTATCAGATGGAAATTAGACATCAATATTTGTAGTAAAAGTTCTTCTTCAATATTCTGACTCGTCCGGTCCCTTATCACTGCTTCTGTTTAGGCGCTTATAATGAAAAAAAAATGACATACCACAAGTTTTTATAATTTCTGAGGAGATTTAAATATTAAATAATCGTGTTATGCAGGTATCGATATAATTTCTCGAGATGTTTCAGTTTATTCAGGCTTTCCTGCCGTAGTTGATCGATTCCTGACGAAACTGGTTTTCGATTTATAATTACTAGGGATAGTAGAAACATAAAAATCGGCGGGGCAGGATTGAGCTGCGTTTACGTTGAAGGTTGCTAATCGAGGAGGCATTGGGTAATCAAAAGCAGTTCCGTTAGGAGTCGACCTGCGCCACCTTCCATATCCTTAGCCGGTGAAACGGTATCAATCTTCTTCAATAATAGATTTGTCACCGGGGAAGGAATGGTTAATCTTAAACTGAGTTTAGGTGAACACGCAAGTTATGTAAACAGTCTGAAGTAACAGACCTCGACCCTGGCTTAACTACAGTCTCTATCGAACTTGAAGATCTTTTAATACGAAGGTATTGGAAAGTGTGGATTTTAACTAGGATTCAATCGATTACGATTACATATCAATATCATTATATATAATGTTTATATTGAATGGCTGTATCTAAGCCAACTATCCAAAACTTAAGAATATTTAACTCGGGTATTCAATTATAATTGAACTCTTATGGGGAGATTACAATCATTGGCTCAACGACTTCAAATATTTTTTCGGTGATACTACATTGAAAAATATTAGACACATGACCCCATCGTTAATGGGCCCTAAGAAAGGAAATTTTAAACAAAATTTATGTTTTTTATTTTTATCTTTTCTTTTTCCATATTTTTATGTTACTATATACCAAACGATTTCTTTTTTTGAGCAGAATTAGAGAAAAATACTGAATTTATTGAATAATGTATCATAAATAAAAACAAACAAACAGTACCTTTGTTTTAGTGCCCTTTAAAACTCTTAAATGTACCGTACGGCAGACGGACATTCTTTTAGGGGCTACAGTCTATGTGGTACAGGTTATTCGGTCAGTATGTTCAATGAAGTATGTTATATACATTAATTTAAAGGGCTTCAAGGAGAAGACTGGCGAAGTTTCATTGGAATCGGTACATTCTTTTAGGGGCTATAGTCTATAGCGACCCAGATTTTTCAGCCACCATCTTGAAAGAAAAATGCGGATGGTAATGCCAAATTCCAACTTTGTCTTCGGGTTTTCTTTGACATTATACCAAATCTCAAAACAATCGGATTTGTTGTATCGGAAAAACCCGTGGACGGCGGAAGGACGGATTTTTTATTTTTCGATTTTACATACCTTGAAACGTGAAACCTTGATTATTAACCGTGAAAGGTTGATTATTGCAAATAATAAACCAAAAATATTCAAAAACCGCGATATCTTTACTTAAGGTGCTCTGATTTCAATAATAATTATCTTTCTTTGTTTTGTTCGATAATACTTATGAAATTTGAATACTTTTGAAACATCTGAATATAATAACTATAAAAAGTTTAAACTTTTTGAGTTATTCAAAAAACTAATTTTACCTCCCCTCGTAACTTTCATTCTTGTTTCCTTTTGGTGATGTGATTTATAGATTTATAAAAGGCATGAAACAACGAGATTTTAGGCAAGTTTTATCGAAATCGGTACCTTCGTTTAGGCACTACTGTCTATACGGTATAGGTTTTTCTGTCCCCATCTTGATAGGAAAGTACTTAAGAAAGTATTACATTTAGGCATACAATACGCCCACAACATTAAAACCAATCCAACTTAAATTACACATTTAAAGAATAGCTGTATAAAAAAGTGAAAAGAACTCGATGAGAGCGGAAGTAAGTAGGCACTTCTATTATCCTTTCTCGTTCCGATCGGTGTCCCAAGTTGTGTAGTCGCCTATAGCTCTCCTCAGCAGCCATTGTCTGTCCGGGAAAGGTTCACCGCATGTCACAGCATTTTGACTTTTCCTCTCCTTCCAATGTAACGGTTTCTTACTGCATATTGTTCCGGCTTAGGCGCCAGTTAAGGGATTGTCTAAGGACAATGCGTGATTCACTCAAAGCTATTTCAGCATCCAGTATTTTTTGTAGGTGGTCATTTTATGGTATTTTTATCTTAAGACTGTTTTATGAAGGAAATAGATAGATAAGGAGAGTATTTGGCTGCAAGCTATTTCGTGTCAAGAACCTTTGTGGTACTCACGTAGGTATCGAAAATATCATTATTTAAAAATAAATAAAATTCCGATTCCGATCATACTTAAATTAATATAAATTTTATATTTTGTAAAAAAAAAAAAATGTATACTGTATATCATGTGGTAGTATAGATATCTACCTATACCAATTCTCAGGGATTATGATCCATGTTGATCGACCTTTATACCCCTTTCCACAAATCGGCCTCATTTCAACATTCCTTTATTGTCCGCTCCATCACCTTTTGGAATTCCATCCCACTTAAAATCCGCTAGGCACCATCCCTATCCATATTTAAAACCCTCTTATTCCAATTCCTCCTTACAATTCAATCGGACGCTGGGTAGCCATTTATCATGCAGCCATTTTTCTCTATGAATCATTTGTATATAAATATATATTCTTTTTTGAGTGTGGAAAAGACGACCAGTCACTTTCACTGAGAATTGTATGTTTTGGTCAGTTTTTCAATGCATAAGATTCTAAGTCCTTGAGCAGTATTTAATTGATTACTACTATTGAATGCACTCCTCTATATGTGTATCATATTTTATTTTCTCCGATCCATCTATATGTTATTATATATGTTTATAATACTATTATTGTATTAATTTGAACACATTAAGGTACAGATGTAAATCATTTATAGTTAATATTTATCTGCTCTTTTATTATTATTTTTTTTCATTAATGCAATGGTATGACAACAAAAGTAATTTATCGTTCATTTCAAATTTCATTTAGTATTCCATAGTTTATTGTTTGTATCGACTATTTTGCAGTATTCTGACCATATTGCTCATATTATTTCTTTTATATATCTGTATAGTTATGTAAATACTTCTGTTATTACTTAGTTTTTAGTTATTTTTTTATTGTAATATGTATTTTGGCAAGATGTTATGTTAATTTTTATGTACCAAATTGTTATTCTTAAGAGACTTTGTCCCAGAATAAAATTGATTCTTCTATTCTTTCAAACGAAAGGGGATTTCATGGAGAAGTGACAGATCTCAATTTCAAAATCTAAAACATTGCGATCAAAAATCATTGAAAAATTAAAGGTTTCAAAACTCAAATGGTTTCAAAAGTCGTCGCATTGAAACGAGATAAATTGTGTTATAAGTATTTCGACGTTAGAAAAAAAACGTAATTCTTCCCACAAAACTATAAGTTGCTGAGATTCTCATAGGGTACTTATCACGTGTCTATTTGTAAGTAAAAATCAAAATATTGTGATTTATTATATTCCTCGGCGAACTAAAAATCTAATGAAAAGGTGCTGGAGAATAGCTCTTAAGATTTCATGGGTATTTCGGATTTTATAGAAAGAAACTTATTGATATTTTTACCAGGGATGCGGTTGAGGGAGTAGCGCAGGATTTTCCTGGAGTTCCCTCGCCTGATTGTAAATACTGTATATAGGTATTCATGTGTTTTTTGCTTAGTTTTCTTATTTTTAGATGATTTTATTTTATTTATTGTATATACTTTTTGATTATTATTTATTGTTATTTCGCTTCTATTTATTTTATATTTTTTGTAAATATAGTATGAATGTTATCCTACCTCACTATTACTAGTGTCCATGTTGACAGATTGTTGTAATACTCAAGAAATAAATAAAAATATTTAAAACAAAAAATATTTTTAATTAATTAAAAAAATATATACAGCTATAGCTTCTATACTCTTAGTTAGTGAGAGAACTAAAAGCAAAGGCTCTTCTGCACCAAACAAATATGTCTTGAATGAGTACAATGACAATAGACAACTTCTACAGTTAACCTAGGTTCGAACAAACATTTACCATATAAAATATTTAACAGGAAGGACATATTTATTTAAATAACCAGTTTTTTTTGGATATAAATAAATTACGTTTAATTTTCGTAGTAATTAAGCTAAGTAGTTAATAGCTACACTGGTATTCTTGTAGTCTCGCTCTTACCATTTGGTGACTTTTAAAAATTGAATTGTAATTTCATTGTAAAAATAAACTTAGTTGCCAAACGGTCTATAACTTGAAATAAAAATAATTATATTAACATTTTTTTTAGGCATCTAAAATTTAGGCTATTGATTAATTTTAGGAATTAGAAAGTCGATCTGAGCAATAGATTGACTTAATAAACTAAACAGAAAATAAAGATCTTCACTTCAGAATCCCTCCATGCCAACTCTCCCTTGCCTACCACTGACACACTCACTATAAATAATGGCTTATTATCAGTGGCATGCTGCTCGTCAGAACGCGGAGAAACCTACTGGTTCATTTCGACGTTTCTCCTCAATACTGCACAGTAAATTTATTTTATGCACCCGGTGAATATCACCTTAGCTTTCTTCTGAGGAGCAATAACGTATTGGTGTTTGTGGAGCTCTATACTATGGTGGGGGATCGGGTACACTTCTTCTAGGATGGTCTGCATAGTCCTCCCTCTAATTCCACTTGAACGTTCCATCAAAAAGATCTCTTCTCAACCAAATTGATTGTAGGGACGCTTCTCGTGCTATTATTCTACAGTCAGCAAAATTTTGAATGAATGGTAAATAACCTGTCAGTGCTATCGTGCTAAAGCGATATTAGTTACAGCAAGGTTATGTCTGCAAACAATGGTTGTGAGTTCTTAATTGAATTACTAACGTTTATAACCTATACTATAAACTTTATAACCTTCTCTGTGGGTTTACGAAGTTTACGCGGCCATATTTAATACATATTTCGTAAATAATTTTCTCCACTTAACACATTTAAGTGATTTATAATACCTAGTACTGATTGTATGAATGCTCCCTATGAGATTATTGTATTTGAAACAGTCCCGTTACCTACTTTACTTACTCGATGCTCAGTCGATACTTTAACACGTTTTTCCGCTATTGTTTAAGAGAAGGATAATTTAAAAATTTGTTAACTTCCTAAGCCTGGAAGAGTCTTTTCATTTATTATTTTTGTACAATTAATTCTGTTTTTATTCTTTGAAATTTTTTATCTTTACAATAATGAACAGTTATAACGTTAACATATCTGCAATTAAAAACTTGCCGATAAATACGAGATAACTGAGGAAATAAGATCTGAAAATAGAATCATCACTCTCGGTTAGAAATAGTAATGTTCCTAGTATTTGATATAAACAGATAAAACCGTGATGCTATAAGAAATGTCAATAGCAATGCCAAGGCATGACTATTACTTACTTTATGTTTTCCTCATGTCCTTCAATTCAAGTCTTTAATTTCTAATAATGTTGAGGTTATATTCATAATAATGGCGAACTGTATTTTTACTGCAAATAACAGGATAGCTCTGTATAAATGTTATGGTTTGTGGTTTAATGATGTTAGATTGGTTTATAACTACAGTGATGTCATTTTGTGTTCGTTTTTATAGCTTGAATCTAAATTTAAAATTTGTTGCAATTTGTCAACTACCATTTAGTACAATGTTTAGAAAATTCTAAACAAATATTGTTCTCTTTAAAATTGATCTAACCGTTGCCATGGTACCTTAGCCTAGTGACATCATGCTGAACTGACCCAAGTCAATGTCGGACCGAGTTCACTACCAGCTGATAAAAGTATATGTTTTGTAAAGATTATTTTTGGTATTAACTTTTTTTATATTTTAGAATAATAAAATGTTATTTTAATTGTATTATTAAAATATGACTTTATTTATAACAGGTATGGTAAGATACGGTAATAAATTAATGACATAGTTTGAATTAAATAAAAATACAAATGCTCAAATATTAAACGTTAAAAGTGCATATTTTAAATATTGTGTAAGAGATAAAATGACCCGTAAGTAGTTATTAATATCGCTGATATTTTCAAATTCAGTTGTATCATACCCTGACCTGAAGTGACCTTCTGCCCTTGGCCTAGGAACGAACTCTCTCGATTTCTCTTAAACGTAATGTCCCGACTGGGAACAAAAAAGTTATCGATTTAGTTATGATTGGAATTGGAATGACCATATATCGAAGAGGGTGATATTGAAGGCAGCTGCCCCCCCACTTCGGGGTGGAAAGTGTAACTCTCGCTTCGGGTGGGGCCGCAGTCTGTGAAGTGATGCGTGCGGTGTCGGATGCACTGGTCCTTCGCTAACTTGGCTCGCTGCCGGCTCGTCGGGAAGTCGAGGAAACCTAATGGCGAAAAGATGCTGGATGCGGTACCCATAACCGGAGCTGACATGAGCTATGACTGTTAGTAAATATGGCTGCAATATCTCTTTATTTGTATAGTATAATGCTATTTTATAAGATTTTTTTTTTTGAAATTGTAAAAAAGAAAAATAGAAAGGGTCAGTGTAACATAATGTCCAGGCTTATTATGATTGTTTTGTATTAAGAAAATTTGAGTTATCATGTTTAGTTGATTTTTCCCCTTCGAGGCGTCTGAAAAGAAGATGGCCTCGTGATCTTCTTATGTAAATTTATTATTAGAGTGCTACCAATAGATAGTTTCTCAACAAGCGTTTTCATATCATTATATTCCTGTGTGCACATTCACTTGATGTATTTTTGTCTTAATACAGTTGTATATACAAATACAGAAAAGATCATTTTGGGCGTCCAAAAGAGCAACTTTTGGACTGAAGCTCTCTCAAAATACTTAAATAATCAAAATGTGTACTCTTTTTAAATTAAAAAGTGTGGAGGAATTCAGCTACTTAAATCCAGCACGTGTCATATAAACAAAAAAGTTGACCTCAAAGCAGAGCTTGAAAATAAGCTTTTATTTTTCAAACGTTTTAGTATCACTGACATTTTTAATGTTGATACTTGTTCTATTCTTTTGCAGCTAGATTTTTTTCCTTTACAGCTTTAAAAAAAGTTTTTATAGAATTCCTATTTTAAAAAAGATAAATTTATTTAAAGGTTTTGCCGATTTCGCCAAAAAATCGATCTAAAAATGATTTTTATTTTTCGCTACTCCAACAGACGGCACATTAGAATCACTGGTAATTGATTTAAGACAAATTATAACTCTAATATAAGGCCAATTACTGTTTAATTTTCATTTGAACTTTTTTAAGAACTTTAACCAAATATAAGTTAAACTTTTACGATGCACCTGAAACTTTTTCCTAAAAGTTTCACAGAAACTGTGAAAATGGAACTTTTTAAAAGAGTTTCAACCTCTGCTTAAAAGCGGTGTTATTCTAATACACATTTTTTCTTTTGGCTGGTCTTCAAATAATACTTATTATTATTCCAGAGTAATTTAAATTAGAGTGGTAAATGAAATTAGCGTGATGCTATTTTCAATTTGTTTCAGGTATCAATTTGTTTTTAAATTTAAACTCTATAGTTGTTATATACACCATTAAATTCACTGAAGAGATCTATTCATATTTGAAAAAAAAATAAATGGATTTCTGAATTACAAATGGCTTAAGAGAGGAAGACATGGGTAAACAAAACCCCAACAGTTTTTGGAGATCATGATAAGTTTTTTAACCATTCATCGTGAATGATTAATGATTAAGGCGATTAATAACATCTTAGCTTCCTTTCTGGAAGTCCTGAGTATACAATATTATAAAAGAAACATTTTTCAACATGACAAAGTGCCATTTCCTAGAAGTAGACACCGAGCGTGGGTTCGAACCCTGGCTATAACCGAGATGTTATCGTCTTCTAGTTTAGCATTTAGTATCTAATGAATAAGATTGTATTTGCACTAGTACATTTTAATATGCCCTTGAAAATGAACGTGAAAGCTTACTATCTATTTTACAATTAAAGCTATATATAAATTATTTTGTTTTATGTATAAACAGATGTAGAGAATTCTATTTTAAATAAAGATAATAACTTTTCAGTTCGGATGATTTTTTATGTTATTTATTATTTTATTAGTAAAAAAAGTATTTCTTATCGATTAATCATTTTTTACACTATGGTAGTGTTTTCTATATCAGTCCGTAAATTAGTTTTGTGTTCGACTGCTACCGATTTCACAAACAAATTAATTATTACATGAAATAGTAAACCTGAAAAGAGTCTTCCTTGTGGAAAGATAATTCTCCAATAACGCAAATACAATCTTATAAAACATCACTTTCTTCCGATATTCAGATATGACTCAAAGGACTCTCACAGATATGACAGTAAATAGAGGGCTCTTACCACCAAACATAAAAGCAACTCGCTTTGGAGATGCGCAATTTAAGAAAAGTTGAGGGCAAAACTAGACTAGAAATGATTATAACATTTTGATAAATTTACTAAGCCATCGAATTCCTCTCATATCTAATCTTTACAATCCAAAATCCTCAATTCTGGTAACAAAGTAAGAATTGTTACCAGTAAGATTATCAATAAGACATAAATTAATGCAGGGGTGCCCATCCTCCCCCACCCCCTCCCAAGGTGGGTTATGTCCATATATGTTCCACATTCTGTAGACTGTATTGGAAAAGCTAATTTAAACTGTATACTGTGATCGATTCCATTTCATTGCCAGGACACTTACTGCCGTTACCTAGATTTTATATAATTTTTATTAAATTTAAATTAATTTTTGCACTGAGTTTGTAAAAAAACAAAAAAGTTTATTTGAGATCGTGCTCGTTGTTTTGAATTTCAACCAGCTCGTGGTCGTTTAGATTTCCTCCTTGAACATCAAAGTTTTGTAAAAAATCCCACCTTTAACTAGTTTTGTTCTGACTGTTGTGTAGCCAATCAAAGTGGTGAGGAAGTTATACTGATCTTTCTTGGCAGACGTTTTTTTCTTGAAGAGGTTAAGGTTATGCAACAGCCGGGGTCATCGGTGCAGTAATGAATGAGGAGCTCGCAGACTGAGGAGTACCGTTGGCCGCGCGGTAGCAGCCCATACACCCTCAACTACACCTGTAATTAGTTGGCTGGAAGTGTTCCCCGACCCCCGAAGTTCGAGACCAGCTGTAGATAACTGTTATTAAGCCAATGGTCAGCGAAGGCCTCCACGGTGATTACAGCTCTTTATTTCGGCAGCCAGCTCTTAGGTTTCTCTAAACAGCCCTCAGGACTATCCTGGATCTGATAAGGAGTCCTGGTAGTGTTGCGTTCCTCCGAGCATTGCCTCATCCTCATTCCGGCCCTATCATTAGTTCGGTAAACATCGATTTTCACTTTTTTCTTTGGAGTAATAATTGCCTTATTGAACCTACTGATTGCCAACAATATGCCTCAGGTAAATTCCATTAGGTACTGTACTTAAATCTTACATCTGTTCTATTCCAAGAAAATTTGTATGAGTAAATGGTTAATGCAGAAACATTTTTTAAATAACTTTAAAATTTCTTAATGTACGGATTAAACTATTAATCAATGGCTTTAATTTTACAATTGGGTATTTTTATGGAAAAATCGTGTTAATTTGAGCTGCAATAGGATTGAAGTAATAGGAAAATGTAAAATATTCAGATTGCACTTTTTAACTTATAAGAACAAGGTTTCGCTAAAAGGTTAAATGAACAGTAGGTCTTAGACAATCAATTAGGGACGGTTAATTATTAACAATAAAACAAGTTAAAGGTACTTTAGAGGAAGAAATTCAAACTTTAAGCATTTAAACCCTGTTAAGCGACATTAACAAGGAAAGACCTATTTCTTTTTTTTTTTTTAGACTTGTTTATTGAGAAATTTTACAATCTGCCATAATTAAGGACATTTTCAATTGTGTTTAGAAAGGACATTCACACTTTATTTACAAAAAATAATACAGAAAAATAATAAAAATAAAAATAAATCTACATAAACAAAAAGAACTAAAATAATCAAAATAACAACTTAAACATGGTATGAATACATGTTTTATGAAACATAAAAGTATGCTTTTATACAATACTTACAGAATTCATTCATCAAGTGAACTCCGAGCCAAACCTTTCTCCTGGAAAGGCAAGACTCTAGGAGATCCCAGCGCCTTTTACTCAGTCGCATTATTGGTATTAATGACCATTAGAGGTTGAGCAATGGCGCAATGATCACACATGGAGCTACTATTAAAAACCATTTAATTATAGATTGATATACTGAGTTTAATCTAAATCGTTAGACCCGCTTTCGGGAAAATTGTAAAAATGTGTAAAATCGTTGATATACTGCCATTTTCGGTTAGCTGATTTTCAGGTAAAAGGTGCTGTAACATCCCAGGTATATACCAACTTTGAATGCTTAACATAAGTTTCGTACGATTTTTTTTTTTTTTTTTTTTTTTTGGGGGGGAGGCTCTATTTTGTGGGACTTTATTTAATTTGGACTCAAGAGACCTCAAAACATGTATATCCGTTGAAATAAAATTCTAAATTTTTCACGATTGCAATACTTTTCCTTACTATATGTTACACATATAGATAAGTGAAAGTAAAAATGGAGCTAGAGAATTAATTTTATTTAAAAACATCTGATAAAAAGCAATCGACTACTCAAGGCCTGTACTATTCCCCTTGCCTTACTTCATTCAGTATTAGCTCATCGCCTATAAAGCTGAATTCGCGGATGCAACCTTGGATCAGGCAACTATGGCTTAAGCCTTTATGACCTAATGGCCACCAGTCGTTGAGAATAACCCTACGCCTTCCAATTTACAACTGTGTAAACATTTCAACACACAACTGAATTTTGTTATCAGGCAAGATGAAGTAATAATTTTGAATTAATTATCATGATTCTTAGATGATGGTGATTTCTTTTTGGTTTTATTTTTATTGGTAGATAGGATTATGCCATAGATAGTGCCAAAAATCATTTCGTGAAATTTTGGGTTTGTACGCAGATCTCGAAATTACACTTATCAAAGTGCTGTGGAATATTCTAGTTTTTAGAAAATCTCGGTTTGTAAATTAGTTATAGAATTCTTTAAGTATGAAATTTGTTTGATTAGAAGTAAGATTATATTTGACTGTAAGGATAAGCATGAATAAAATAAGGTCGGAAGGTGATGGTAGCGTTTACATTTAAATGCCGAAATTGATAAATAATAAAAAATAAATAAGTTTAGCTATCGAACAAATCCCCTCCCTCCCCTCTTCTCTCCCAACAACTGTATAGTATTAATCCTTCGAAATGTGCACCCTCAAAAATTTAAAATCTCGTTAAAGTATGTTCCCCTCAAAAATTTTGATAGCGCAACTTGCACCATGAAGCCCCCTTGTTTTTGGGCTCCCCTAATTTTTGCACTAAAAATAA